ATATGGTTTAAAACGCATGATTTCAGTGCGATAAACATGATAATCAGAAACAAAACAGACGTTTTTAGCAGGTCCGAGCTGTAAAGGCGCAACTCTGTTCTGGAAAAGGGGGCGGGGAGCGGCAGCTCATTTGCATTTAAAGAGACAAGCCCGAAAAACAGCTTCCACTCAAAATAGGCATTTTGAAAATGATATAATAAATGATCTGTGGAGTATTTTGAGCCTAAACTTCACAGACACATTCTGGGAACACCAGAGACTTATATTACATATTGTAAAAAGGGGCATAATATGTCTCCTTTAAAACATGTATTACCGTAATACCCTAGTATCACGAAGATCTTTTAAACAAACACACACATATATAATAAATAAATGTATGCATTTAGCAGACGCTTTTATCCAAAGTGACTTACAGTGCATTCAGGCTACACATTTTTTACCAGTATGTGTGTTCCCTGGGAATTGAACCCACGACCTTTGCGCTGCTAACGCAATGCTCTGGATTGCTAACGCAATGCCACAGGAACACTCAAATATCTCAAATATATCTCAAATCTATAACAAAATACAGCAAATACATATACAAGTCATCCCAAATGATCCATATTTAACTATATCAACAAAATTTACAAAATATACATATATACCAATAATGATCTCATGCATACAATCAATAAACATCATACCCAAGTACTCTTCGAGTCCCCCATATATGTCGTAAAATTATTTTAAGACAAATCTTCATTCATACCAAGAGGGTGTAGACTTTTAAGATCAAAAATCCACCACAGGGACAAAGACTCATAGAGGGGGGAATTTAGAACGTAGACTTTTGCAAAAGGAATGTAGGTGGATTTTTGATCTTAAAAGTCTGCACTTGCACTTTTGCACTTCTTTGCACATATTTTTGTGACCTCTGAGCAATAAATGGAATAAGCCTTTTGAGCTGTATTTGGACGAGTGCGGATCTCTTTCATCTTTGCATCTTAATATTAAGTCTAAAATGTGTTTTAATGTCATTTTTAATGGGAATTAATAATGATCTTCGAAAAATATCGGTCTTTAAATGCAAAATATTTCAAGTGTACCTGAAGTGTACTTGCAATAGTTCCACTTTAGCACAATCAAATATACTAAGCATATCTTTAATTGTACTTCAGCACTACTTCCGTACAATTAAAGTGCATTAAGTACAACAATAGTTGTTCCAGTTTAGTACACTAAAAGTACAAAGACAGGGCATTTTAATGAGTACATAAATATGAAAAGATATTTGTAGTATATTTAGCATGAAATAAATGTATTTCAAATACATTTAAATATATTTATTTTTCACTAGGGGAATCATGCATGTCTATGCCATTTCCCTTCAACAGCAAATTTATGGGTAAAAATACGTGTCACTTTGGTAGAGTACCAGTTTTGTCTGTCTGCTTTGTCTCAAAAATATAAAAAATTATTAGCCTATAGGTTAATCAAAGTGTATTTGGATAAATACATGCTTTGGAAAATTTATTTGAAATTGATTTTTGAATATTTATTTATTTATTTGCACTCTCTCAAAGATATCATTTTGTAATTTGTTATCTGTGTAGCTTTGAAAGTGAAATTCCAAGGATATAGAACTTGTATATGTCATGTATTTATTAATTTGAATGATAACCATGGTTATTACCATGCAATATTTTAAATACAGGCCTCATAAACACTTTGGTTAGACACCCGAATTCAAATTAAATTATCTTTGCAAAGACCTCTGCACATAATTTTAACCCCATAAAAGTTTGATACAACACGGACACTCTCTAATTATTTGCCAAAAAATGAGATAAGATATCAAAGATGAAGTAGCATTTTTTCTTTGCTTGATAATTGCCATTTCTAGAAATAAGAAATAAGTTTAGGAACACCTTCACACAACGACTACCAAACAGAAACTTATGTTTGTTTTTCAATTTGCATCTTTTTTTGTTCTTCAATGTGTTGATTGTATTAGAATAATTATTTCTTCTTGTATGTATTGCAATTTGTCAGGTGTTCAGTGTCACTGCTGCTCAACATTACTGTCATTTCCTCTGGTTCTTGTTGCATGAAATAATACTGCACATGGTTATGAATAAATATCTTGGCACAATATTAAATATTATTCTGATATGTGTCTGTAAATGGAATGAACTGGAATTTATATTTATAATTAAATGAATGACATTGAGAACAGTGGCTCAGTGGGTAGCACGGTCGCCTCACAGCAAAAAGGTCCCTGGTTTGAGTGGCTCAAGCCCTCCTGCGACCCTGCATAAGACAAGCAGTATGAAAAATGGATGGATGAATGATGTTGTAAATTCTACAAATCTGGCTTGAGCTGAACATTTTACCATATTGAAATGTTTAAAGGTGACATATTATGCCCCTTTTTACAATATTTAATATCTAAGTCTCAGGGGTCCCCAGAATGTAACTGTGAAGTTTCAGCTCAAAATACCCCACAGATCATTTATTATATCATTTTGAAAATGCTTATTTTGAGTGGACAATTCTGTGAAAAAAAGTCAGAATTGTAAGATAAAAAGTTGCAATAACCTTTTTTTATTTTTTATTCAGTGGCGGAAACGGGCTTGCATACATTACAGCTCGCACCTGCTAAAAAACTTCTGTTTTGGCTCTGATTATCATGTTTATTGCTCTGAATTCATGCGTTTTAAACCATATTAGTTTAAACCTCTGCTATACGGTTTTCTGAGCGCACACATCCGAAGCACATAGACAGAAAGCGGCTGTCACAGCATGTGAGTACTAAACTAAGTTCTCATTCACACACAAGTTTACGTTAAAAACACGCATAAGTTACAAAAACAGTCGGCTATGAATGTGAAGGTAAACAGCTAGGAAATAAATCGCATGTTTATTTTAGATCTGTGTGGCAGCAGCAATATACAGTAAATAAATCAATAAATCCACTGCTCTCTTGTCTCCTCTGAGGCTGGGACTGTAAATAGTGTTCTGTGCTTGTCTGCGCATCCAATAACAGAACAGTTAGCATGTTTTGCTCAAACTTTCGCCATGGCATTAGATCTGATACACCGTTGTAGCTTGCGAAATCAAAATTACGGCGCCATGGGTGGAAATTTACAGATTAAAGGGCGGTAATATTATAATGAGATCCGTTTGCAACGTCACTAGGGGAGCGAAATCAGACGCACTTGTTTTCTCAGACTCTTGCAGAAAAAGGCTTACCAAAACAAAGTTACTGGGTTAATCTTTTTCACGTTTCCTTGGTTGGTATGAACCGGGGACCTGATTATAGCACTTAAAACCTGGAAAAGTCAGATTTTTATGATATGTCACCCCTAACCATGTTAAAATAACAGACATGTTGGCATTCATTCACATTTTATCAGGCTTAATTTTTCATCTTATCTATGAATTAAGCTTTACACAAATTGTGCAGAACAGTACAAAGGAATTTTATTTCCACATTATTGACATTGCAGTCCATAGTTTACTGGAGATATCATATCTTAGACCATCCTAATAAATCCTCCCATATTAGGATGGCATAGATAACACCCAACTGCTATAAAAACCCAGGTGTTTTGATGTTCATCCTCTCATTTTTCTTGACGAACCCCAGGTAAATAACCATCAGGGAATTTCTATATTGAGAATTCAGCTTAAAATGTTTATCTCGGCTTTCAGTTTATTGTAATTAAGGAAACTATTCTTCATTTCTTATAGAAAATTGGCACAAAAAAAAAATGGGGAGACTTACACTTATAGCAGGTAAGAAATAATAAAGTGCAATCTAAAATTTAAATCTAAAATTTAAATATTATATTAAATAAATTTAATATAAAATTATTTTATATTTGTCATTTACATGATATCATGGCATATTCTAGGATTGGGCTTGGTGCTCTGCCATGTTGGTGAGTCACTGAGTATTTATCAGATCACATTTTCATATCAAACCTCTCCTTTTTAAATAAAATATCTATATATGATTGCAATTTTGAGATGAGAGAGATGAGTTTAAGGGGTGCATTTTAGTTTGAAAATGTCTTGTCTAAGAGCTTCTTTGTGTATCCATATCCAGCCTTCTCTATGGAAATGGGCTGCTACTTCACCAACTGGTCTCAGTACAGACCTGGAATTGGAAAGTATACTCCTGCAAATGTTGACCCTTTCCTTTGTACACACCTAATCTATGCTTTTTCAATCATCAACCAAAACAACGAGCTTGTCACCTATGAGTGGAACGACGATGTTCTCTACAAGGCATTCAATGACCTCAAGAACACGTATGTATTAGTAAAAATATTATGTAAAAAAAATATGCTTAAATAGCAAGTAAGAAAGTAACAATGTATTTAGACATGCTAAAATAAAATCAAAAATATATATTGTCATATATTATGAAAATATCCTATAAATAACTATATTAACCTCACAGAAATCCCACTCTTAAGACTCTTCTGGCTGTTGGTGGATGGAACTTTGGTTCAAAACAGTAAGTTTTCTTTCTATTCTTTTCTCTTTTTTTCATTATCACATTAGCTTGATGGTCAATTGAAATGCAGAAACATCTAGATATCAAGATTTTTCCAAAATTCATCTCAGGTTCTCCATCATGGTGTCCACTGCTGCAAACCGTCAAACATTCATCAAGTCCACCATCAAGTTCCTGAGAACTCATGGATTTGATGGTCTGGACCTGGACTGGGAATACCCTGGAGCAAGAGGAAGTCCACCTGAAGACAAACAAAGATTCACACTCCTCTGCAAGGTGGGTCTGATTGTAATGCAATGTCTTTTAGGCAGATATTGTGGAGAACTTTTGCTCTTTTCATTTTTATTTATCTATGTTTCTCTTTGCAGGAACTTGTTGCAGCCTATGCAGCTGAGGCCAAGGCTACTGGTAGACCTCAGAGTTGGGTTTCATTGTCAACATTTGTCAGAAACTGACTAGCAACTCTTCTTTCAATTTATAGGTCCGTTATCTGAAAGACAAGAACTTTGGTGGAGCCTTCGTCTGGGCGCTTGATCTGGATGACTTTGCTGGACAGTTCTGTAATCAGGGGAACCATCCTCTCATGGGCCATCTGCACAATCTTCTGGATATCGGTACAAATTTTCACAAGCTGTCCTTGCAACACACTGGTTGTATTTGAGTAAAAAAACTAATAAAACTAATGCTTATTAAAATGCTTTTTCCAGAAGTACCTCCGAGGCCTTCAACCACCACCCCCAAACCTGGCCAAACCACAACGCCCACCACAACCACCACCACCACTCATGCTCCAGGACCAGGATTCTGTAATGGAAAGCCAGATGGACTCTATCCTCATCCTGAAGACCCCAACAAATATTATAACTGTGCAGGAGGCAATACTTTCTTGGAGCATTGTGCCACAGGCACCGTGTTTGATGACACATGTAAGTGCTGTGTTTGGCCCTAAGGGATCACCTTCTAAAAACATCTGCAAATAGAAAGCGCTCAAATGACACCGAACATCAATTGTTTCATGTTCATAAACTGAAAATATGATGTCTAAATGTAACACAATTATGTCTTCATTCCATCTGCATGCAGTTTGTTAGTTTAAGTACCTCTTTTTAAATGACTCACTGTTTCTTGGTATTTTTTTTTTTAAGAAATTAATAAACTGACTTGCCATCTAGGGAGACTTCTGTGTTTTTTTTGTGACTGATGCAAGTACACTGCTTCACAATCATAACTCAAAATCTCATTCAAAAAACAGCAAAACAGCAAATAAAAAATACACAAATTCATTCTACCAAATTTAGAAACAAATTTAGAAGGATAAAAACATCTGCTGCATGTGCTAAAAAAATGAAATGAAAGGTCCTCTTCTGGATGCATATTGGAAAAAAAACAGCATCATTCAATTTGTGTGAAGTACAGTTTTCTCAAAAATGAATGGCTTTCAATGGCTTTACAGCTTGATGTTTTATTCTTACCAAATGTAATCTTCCGTACATATATTAATGGTCTGTCTGTTTTATCAGTAGTCAAACGAGATTATTCTACCGAATACTATCCATTGATCCATTTTCCAAACTGCTATATTATATTATATTATATTATATTATATTATATTATTACTTCTTTTATATTATGAGTCATAACTTATTAAAAACGAAAATTATAATAATATATAATACTATATTAACATATAAATGACTACATATCCACCAATCGGGCATGACATTATGACCGCCTTCCTAATTGTCACGAATCCGGTCCAAGAACTTCCGTCTGCTTGCCATCAGAGGTCACCCTTTCCATTATATTGACTCTCGCACTACACAAACTGTTGCATCATCCCGGACTACATATCCCATCATCCATTGTACTGATTGCACACAGCACTGATTGCACACAGCTGTATCCAATCACACATTCACTATATATCACTCAATCTGACTCCTATCAAACTGCCGAGTATTGTATGCGCTTATCGCCAGCAGTGATAGCTACTTTACAGAGCCCTCGTTAGTTTCCCAGTCCTAGCCTAGTCTTGCCCTGTCTGTTTTCTTGGTTTCTGATCTTTGCCTGTTTTCCTGGATTTATCCCTCTAGTCTCGCCCTTTTGATTCTGTTCGCCGATCGTTGACCTACGCTAGCCCTAGGATTATTCTTGTGTCTTGCCCGCCATATACCTGTTTGCCATTGTTCGACCCTGGCTGTGTTTCTGACCTCTTCTGCTTTAAATAAAAGCTTGCACATGGATCCGCACGTCTCATGTCTTGTCAGCCCTGTAACCAAATACTCGGCCACACAAGGATCCAGCAGCTTTTCATGTGGACATTAGCCAGGTATGGACACTGCAAGACTGTTATTAACCCTCGAGCAGGGCTTGCGAGCGCTCGAGGATTATGTACAAGAGTATTTAGATCTTGCATATTTTTCTGATCTGCCTGACTGTGTGCTCATAGACTTTTTTTGTGAGGG